CATTATTGTTTGGTAATGTTAATTACGATGGAGCAGCTTAGACAGGTGTTATTCGTGACGTCACTCTGCATTAATTACACTATGACGCTGCTTATATCACATCTGAGACACACGTACAACTTGATTGGCAACCCAATAATAAAGGTAGAAATTAATGAATTTGTTATTTGTTTTATTATTAATGTTCTTTTACACCCTAGTACGCTTGGCTCTTGCTTGGGACCACCTTACACTAATGAGTAATATCCATGCTATACTTAGAGAGTCGCAGGTTTATCACAACAAAGGTGTTGGTGATTTGCGGAATTAGAACCCGTGACCTCAGGAACGGAAGTGACACACTCAAACCCTAGACTAGATCGTTCCAACAAGTAATAACAATATTACAAATCTAAAATAAAAATGATTTTTTTTTAGGCTCCAAACAGCTTACCAATCCCCAAAATAATCAACTAAACTTTTTATTGAAATAATTTTTAATAAAATGAAAGCTTTTAGATCATCAATAAGAGAAAAAGCACCATCCACATCTCTACCGACAGATCTCTACTCCATCAATTTAAATCTTTTTTAAATAAAAGATGCAAAGAATAAACTTCCGATGTATCTTTACAACAGAGAATGTGCTGAGATGTGTTTAACTATAATTTTGTAAATAATTAAAATATGAATAGAAGATAGAGCTCTCTCGGAGTTTAATATATTATACATTGTGACCCTTGGTATCAATAATACTTATTCCAATGTATTATTGATCAAATAAAAGTATTACCTTATTCAGCCACAGTTTCTGGTATGAAAACTAGTTTTGTCGCTGAGAACTTCGTCAGGTATTGTATGCATCATCATCATGAACATGTCAAAATGTTCTTTAGAATACTGAAATAATCACAATAATCGTAACTTGTTACAGTGATAAATAATTAAAATGGGATAAAAAGTTATAAAACTGGTTAAAACTGTAAAGACTGGCACTGTCTTATGTCTGTCACCAAATAAATAAACACTATAATAAACACACAATAAACACTAGCTATAAAACTGAGTTTTATTTACTATTTTAAATAATCCTTTGAAATACCACAATGTATTAACATTGATGATGTGGTTGCATAATGACCTGACGAAGTTCTAAGGAACGAAACTAGTCGTCATGCCAACAGTGGTTGGATAAAGTAATCATGTTATTTTATCAATAGGTTACTAGGTTAATAGGTAGGTCAATATAGCTCTACTTCACTCTAAGGGGTTTAAATTAAGCAATAGAGCCTCTATTATCAACATCCATCAGCAACTCAATACACAATCTATATACTTTTCATAACTTTTATACAACGATTCCTTATTGCATTTTTTTAGCAAAATGATTTGAAAGTTTTTGCTAACAAAGTGTCACACTCGCAAAACTAATTGATAAAATCATACCAGAAATAGTAATAAATTTAAAATAAAAACAGTAATCCTACGGGTACTCTGTATTGAATATACTGTGGTAGTAGGGTGATTCAATCATATGTATCTATGGCTGTCTGACGAATGGGCTAGGCTTTATCTATTACTGATACTCTGCCTGTCCAGCTTTGTGGAGGAAGTAATGGAGACAAATGTGCAAGAGGGGATTGTATCTGATGCTGTGAACCACACCACTACACAGGAGTAATGTCAGTGGCAGTCCATAATGAACCATAATGAGGTCCTTGTAGAAGATGCGTATATATTTAATATAGCATAAGTCCGTATCCTAGAGAATGAGGATATTTTTGTAATATTCGTATTTGCGATATATTTAGTTCAAAATTGGAAAAAGGTAAACATAAAAACTCGCAAAAGATCAGGGACACATTGGTAAATTTACATTTACAATTTGAAACTACAAATTAAATTACATACAAACATACAATATAAGTGTTTGTAATAAAACATTTTACTAAGCTCTATTTAACTTTAAAAAGATATTTTAAGGATATAATTAAAACTTTGCCAATAAAATAGGTACTATGAGACAGTACAGTTTATTTTCTATTGTTCCTGCTGTAAGTCCTACTTTGCTTTTGAAGGGAGAAAGTATCCTAGACTAAAGAACAACCGTAACATATGTACAAACCTGGCAGCACTAAGGTAAATGTACAGCTTAATGTAGTGTTATGTGTAAAATGTGTTGTATTGATCAAGGAAAAAATAGACTCAAGATTATCCAAAATATTTAACCTAATTTTATAACGATTTAAATAAATGTCATCCTTAAGAAATTAAATTAAAAATATATAAAAAATTTGCCAAAATATAAACAATCTAAAGACATATTTTTCACTATACTTAGAAGTAAACAACATCAGACGACGAAATACAAGCTGTTTTAAGTGTAAAACAACACCCTGCGATGATAATGAAAACTCGTTAAGTGTATGTACACAATCCTTTCTTTCCACAAAATGGCCGTCTCACTGTTTATCCTCCAGTTGTACATGTCAGATAAACGTTACGTGCATGAAATTAATTAAAAGTTATCCTTTTACGGTTTGTCTAGAGATAAAACAGCGTGTATTCGTCGTATATTTATACGATGAGCTTTTTGAAAAATTTTATTGTTGTGGTTTTGTTGGAGTTATTTAATTTGATATTATTGTGTGTAAACTTAATAAAAAAAACTGTTTCGTTTGTACGTTAAAATCAGTTATTTTGTTTTATATACTATGTAACATCTTTTGGTATATTCTTGGTTTATTCTAAAGCTATGGATATCATAGACAAGATGGCTGAGAGTTAAAACGGTACAATATGATTTGTCTTGCCAAATAAGTTATGGTAAAAGAAGAAGCCTTTTTTGTTGTGAGAGGGAGATTGATGTTATAGGGATAATAGCTAGGTGGCCGAGAAACCCACTCGCGTGGCGTGGACTTTTTACATATGCGTCAGAAGGCACTACTGGATAAGGGATGCTACACGATAAAGTGTTGTTGCAGTCAAGTAGCTGAAGTAGTGGTGAAAAGGGTCTATTCCTATGAGCCGGAGAGCACATGGTGTGGGTGCTTGGTTGTGTCAGAGGATCATAACCTTGTGACGATCCAAAATGAGACTTAGTGAAAATGAATCGCACTAGTTTTAAATTTAAAAGGAAGAGAGTAACCGAAATTTAATATGGCTTTTCTCTTACTGCCTGTGCAGGTGCATAAAAATGTCAGAGCTGCAAGTGACGTCACCGAGTAGATCAAAGTTGGGGAGAGTCTAACTGATGCAAGTAGCAGTGTGGTGTTACAGATGCATCAGAGGCTCCTCGCAAGGCAAGTGACGTCACAGGATGTGGCGAGCCTAACTGATGCAAGTGGCAGGTGAGGTGTTACAAATGATTAGAGATGCCTCGCCAGGCTAGTGACGTCACAGGGTGTGGAGAGCCTGACTGATGCAAGTGGCAGGTGAGGTGTTACAGATGCATCAGAAGTGCCTCGCCAGGCTAGTGACGTCACAGGGTGTGGAGAGTCTAACTGATGCAAGTGGTAGGTGAGGTGTTACAGATGCATCAGAAGTGCCTCGCCAGGCTAGTGACGACACAGGGTGTGGAGAGCCTGACTGATGCAAGTGGCAGGTGAGGTGTTACAGATGCATCAGAAGTGCCTCGCCAGGCTAGTGACGTCACAGGGTGTGGAGAGCCTGACTGATGCAAGTGGCAGGTGAGGTGTTACAGATGCATCAGAAGTGCCTCGCCAGGCTAGTGACGTCACAGGGTGTGGAGAGCCTGACTGATGCAAGTGGCAGGTGAGGTGTTACAAATGCATCAGAAGTGCCTCGCCAGGCTAGTGACGTCACAGGGTGTGGAGAGCCTGACTGATGCAAGTGGCAGGTGAGGTGTTACAGATGCATCAGAGGTGCCTCGCCAGGCAAGTGACGTCACAGGGTGTGGAGAGCCTGACTGATGCAAGTGGCAGGTGAGGTGTTACAAATGCATCAGAAGTGCCTCTCCGGGCTAGTGACGTCACAGGGTGTGGAGAGCCTGACTGATGCAAGTGGCAGGTGAGGTGTTACAGATGCATCAGAAGTGCCTCGCCAGGCTAGTGACGTCACAGGGTGTGGAGAGCCTGACTGATGCAAGTGGCAGGTGAGGTGTTACAGATGCATCAGAAGTGCCTCGCCAGACTAGTGACGTCACAGGGTGTGGAGAGCCTGACTGATGCAAGTGGCAGGTGAGGTGTTACAAATGCATCAGAGATGCCTCGCCAGGCTAGTGACGTCACAGGGTGTGGAGAGCCTGACTGATGCAAGTGGCAGGTGAGGTGTTACAGATGCATCAGAAGTGCCTCGCCAGGCTAGTGACGTCACAGGGTGTGGAGAGCCTGACTGATGCAAGTGGCAGGTGAGGTGTTACAGATGCATCAGAAGTGCCTCGCCAGGCTAGTGACGTCACAGGATGTAGCGAGCCTAACTGATGCAAGTGGCAGGTGAGGTGTTACAAATGCATCAGAGATGCCTCGCCAGGCTAGTGACGTCACAGGGTGTGGAGAGCCTGACTGATGCAAGTAGCAGTTGAGGTGTTACAGATGCATCAGAAGTGCCTCGCCAGGCTAGTGACGTCACAGGGTGGGGCGGTGTAGGGAGGTGGAAGGGTGAGGTTAGGGTGAACGACAGATTCAGTCGGTGCGTCGCGGTGCAGCGAACAACTCATAGTGTCAATCCGCGCGATAAAGTGCGATCACCACCTGCCTTAACTCCAATAAACTAAACCCAACCTTAAATCCAAAACTAAACCAGTAACAAAATAAATAAAGCAAACGTAATATAGAAAAATATTTCCAACACCAATCCATTAACTATTTATGTTTAAGTAAACATTTAAACGCCCTAAATAATTACTTTACGAATCAAAATATAAAATATAAATGATGAAACATAACTGTTCCATAATCAAATACTAATTTGTAAACAGTCTTCTTTCCAAATAGAACTTTATGAAGATTAAATACCAATGTCTCCTAATAACAAGAAGATGATTTTTCTATTGAAGGGATTAGAATTGACATGTCACTGCATCAGTTCGGTACTTCCTAGTTATATTTATATTTGACAATCCGTAGTGTTGTGATGCGAGAGTTGAGTGAGACAGGATGCTGTGTTGTGTATGAGGCTCGACGCGTCGCACTGCGGTAGAATTGTGTACAGTGACAGGTGCGTATTGGAGCTGCATACATTATATATTCCTCTCAATACATGTTGCATTGGATTTGAGAAATGTTAGGATAAATATAATGCTTAATATCTTGTTAAGTGAGTAGTTATAGGATACAATGTATGGTTTTCTGAATGGTCACTTATTGATATTCGTGTTTTTTATGTGAGGTGTTAATGTTGTTCAGTTTTTATGTTTAAGTACAAAATGAATGTTGTTGTTTACAGGATATTTATAATTATTGAGTATAAGAATCATCCGCGGGAACTTTTAAATTAATAGTTAAATTTTAAGGTTAATCCTATATGCGTTGGATATTTAAGATTGTAATACAATAATTGAAAGACATAAAAAAAATTTAAACGAACCTTCCTAGTAATTGTTATAATGATTTAGTTCTGCAAAATGTCATTAAAAACTAGGTTTATTGTAATTGACCTTTTCACCTCCGATTTCTAACTGGAGTTTGAAACATAACCTTTTACACTAATCTTTAAGGTAAATAATTAACAAACTATTTATGTCACCTACATAAAGCTAACTTTTAAAAACATTTGTGCGAACAACTTTACTACCTTCTTAATGAAACCAAAAGTTTTTTATGTAGGCGTATTCTTACCCTGGAGAATTTACTAGCACACTATTAATTCTTAGTTACTTTACATAATAAATATTGTTTATTAATTTTTTTTTAATAATTTTATTAAAACTATAAGTTTTTTCGTTGGTACAAACACACTGGCGAAGACTCTTGTTATTAGACGTATAATAATAGTTTCAAATTTGCTAAATTAAACTATTTTACTTTTGTTTTGAATACGCATGAAAATCCTATGATATTATATATTTGAAGTAGACATATTTCATTCTATCCAGCTTTCACAGGTTTAGAATAATGATACGGTGTAATTTGTAGTTTTTATTTTGAAATTATTGCTTCTTGAATAGCTTGACATTTTTTTTTGTCACTAACTATGCACACAAACTATGTACTACAGCAGCGATGTTTAAAGATAAAAGATAAAGAGAAAGAAGAGATAAAGATGTAAAGTGTGTTTAAGATCAAATATATAGATGGCCATCACACTAAATTCACATCAGAGAATTGTTATATTTAACCTAATGAAAAAGTATAACTACAATCTAATTTTTACATGAACATAATTTTAGGTAATTAGGTAAACATAAATGCCCTCAAAATTGCAACCCGGAAGACTAAGCGATTTAAAATGTGTCTGGTTAGTTCTTTATTGTGAAATTTCCTCAAACAGGTCAGATTTATTCCCTATTTAAATAACATTAGACTTAAAGAGTACTTAGGTTTTGCTGATACAGGGAAAAAACATTGTAGAACTTTTATTTATTATTAATTAAAGAATTTCTCCCTGAACTTAATTTCTGTTTTTTAAAGTTCAACAAGATGGCTTTAAATTAAACATTATCATGTTTTAAGGGTAAAACTCTACCGTGGAAATTTACTGGAAACATTAGTTATATAATGTCATCTAAATTGGATACATTTCCAAAATCTTACAAAATAAGATTTTAATTTTCTCCAAAATTTACGCTCTATATTTGTTTTGTGTTAACACTAAACCTTTTACATTTCAATACATATTTTAATTAAAACCAAACACTGAAGGCAAATAATAATTTCGGTTCAAAACGACAATTTCAGTAAATGACATTACTTTCCCAAGTTAAAACGCGGAAAGATAATTAAAACAAGCAATAACAATAAAAACTTGTGGACAACAAACAAGTACAATTGTACACTTCAGCCACACAGTTTGTACTGCTCCCTAGAGTCTTATATATGAATATACCATCGTTAGTATATTATTCACCGACGTTGTGTCTCCAAACACCGTTTGTTTTTAAATACAATTTCATCATTTAATAGTTATTTTAGTAACATTTCATCGTTCTGAATAAAAATATAGGAGGGTAAAACATGTGTATTTTACGGTTTAACAGTGATACAAATAAGTAGGGGTTGCGGAAAAATCACTTAAATAAAAGCCGTTATTTTGCAGGATTTGAACCAGTGACCTCAAGGCCCAAAGACCCGCTCTCTACCAATAGACCATTTCGTTCCGCATGATGCCACTAGTAATGTACCTACTGTCAATTGTTGTAATGATAAACTTATTTTTTCTTAACATTTCAACCCTCAGAGTAATCTCCATGTGGAATATGTGGCCTACGTATTTATGAACGGAAAATATTACAATAATGGTTTCATGGTTTACAAAACATAATGTAATAAAACAATCCCTACATAAGTTATTCTATGTCAAGAGAAGTTTAGAAACGTTTCAACTCGTCCAATAGGTAGCATATGTTATTTTAGTTGTTTCTGAAGCTATAACCTATATAGATACTGAACAGAATCATAACAATGGCATCCTTGATATCAAGGCTAGAGGCGATCTCCTGAGAGTTAGTTGATAAGGTAGACTTTATCACATAAGGCTTCGTGTGACTCCATATGAATAAACTTATTTTCTTTTAAGGAATCGAACTTTGTCACTAATAAAATTCCTGTATGTTTGACTGGATATTTTTGTATTCTTTTTATACTTAACTCGTAACTTAGAGAAAATAATTGTATACAGTTACATTCAAGCGAAATATTTAATCAGTTGCAGTTCAGTTCACTGGTATGTTTTACACAGAAAATATACAACAAATAATCCAAACAATACGAGCTGTTTTTGAACAAACATGATAGATTTAAGTAATAGTGGTCTGTGTTACGATACGTCTAGCTTAGTAAAATGAAACAAACGGATATAAACAATTCATTGTGGGATAGAACATCTGAATCATCATAAAATGTAGGTAGCACTATTTAGTTAGTGTCTCCACAAATTGTGGTGAAATTCTAGTAGTTTGTGCAATGGCAGGACATCAGCAGATTTATGTCGACTGTTTACTGTCTGACATTCACAAATAACCCAATGGTTTGTCACCAACAGGCAAGAATTGTGGCTCTGATCCCATGACCTATCTTTGAGAAATATTTTAATCCAATGCCTTATCTTATATTTATTATTTATTTATGAAAATGTAAAATGAGTTGTATATTATTTTCCTTTATAGAGAGTCAAAATTAATTTAACGATAATAATAGGACAAGACCTGTCATGGCGCAAACTGTATCTTATAATTACAAACTTTTTATTTTTGTCATGGCTACAAAATTAAAACATATGTTGGAGAAAAATGAAATCAACAATTCTTTGCATTCAAAAAACTTCAAAATATGGTAGTGAAACTTTTTACAAGCCTTATGTGGCATTGAACAATTAGATTTACAATAGAATCCATTAGTAAAGCTTAGAACAAGGTTCATCCGATTTTTAGAAAACCAACTTGAAACCCACAATTGTATTTATTGTGTAAAAAATGTCCGAAAAGTATTACGTATGCAGGCCAGACGTTCACTCTTTGTGTAAATAAATGGCAGAAAATCGTTTTTTGGTAGACAAAGGTTTTAAAAACAAAAATTAACTAACACCACTCCCAAAAACAAGATTTTTGTTTGATGTTATAACTTCAATGCCCTTTACTTAATATATCAACATAAAAACCTAAACTCGTAACCCACCGGTTAAAAATAATCATAATACGTAACCAGTTGGTATACAAGTTTTTCCCCACTTTAAATAGAAGATTATTAATTAAAAATTGAACTACCTTGTTGAATTGAAATTCTTCTTTCGGTCTTTTACCAATTACATGTTCTAATTCATATTGCATTTGGATATTTGTTTCATATTTTTTCCAATTTGTGATTTGTGTTCTGCAACGGTAAAAAAAAAAAAAAAAAATTCTATTCTATTCATACCACATTAAAATATCTCTACCTTCTATATAATCAATAAATACTATACAGAAAGTAAATACTTAAATTGGATACAATACATGTTTTATTTTAAAGAAATCTCAGAAAACACATTTTCTCGCAACGATTCATGAAAGACATTCATATAAATCGGAGCGTAACTAATGGAATGCTGGCGATGCTAGTGTCCAGAAGCATATTGAAATAAATTATAATTTATATGTTTTTCCACTTTAAAGAGATTTTTTTGTAATTTGTACTGTATATATTGTTTAGAGAATACAGAGAATTTGTAAGGAATGTTTGACGAAATTATTGTTTTGAACCATACAATGTAATCAGAATTGGGCAATTGGTAAATAATGTATACTATGAGCAATATGTTCTTATCTTTTACTAAACAAATTATTACCACGTTGGAGGAGGTAGCATGGTTTGTATGTTCAATATGCTGCCTCAGAATACCCTTTTCATATTTATTAAGATTACGCTATAAACTTAATGTAATAAATGAAAACTTATAAATTCTGCAACGTCCTAAATTTAGTTGTCTGTAGTTCTATTAGAAAATGAAAACTATAATTATAAGAACAGTTGTATGATGATATCAGTTGGAAAGTATTGTTAAACTTGAAGTAAACACTCTGGAAACAAGAAAATAGTGTTTAAATTTCAGTAGATTGAATAATCATGAGAATTTAAAGGTGAAAGTTGTTTAAGAGGATTTCATAGTTGGCGCCCTCTGCTAGAAGAATTAAGTTCTCGAACCGAAGGCGTAGTCGAGTGATAACAAAGTTATAATTACATTTCCTCCATCTGTTAATTTGCTCCTTCTTATGATTTACGAGAAGTTATAAAATTGCAAATTAATTGAAATCCAATCCAATTATAATAACTTATTTTTAGTTTCAAAGCAGTTATGGTGATTATTCTGATTGAAGAGTGTTTTACAAGTTTTTATTATCAATACAAATTAATTTCTTTAATAAAAAAATATATATTTTCGTACAAATGAACCTTTTAAGAAAAATATGATTTTAATTTTTTTAATTATTTTAACAACTGATAATTTTTGTTTTTACCCTAATACAAAGAGGTACTGTACCTTTTTCTAAAAGCAATAACAAATCAGTTAAATGATCTTGTTAT